AGTCTGTGTGTGTGTGTGTACTCAGCAGTCTGTGTGTGTGTGTGTATTCAGCAGTCTGTGTGTGTGTGTGTGTGTACTCAGCAATCTGTGTGTGTGTGTGTACTCAGCAGTCTGTGTGTGTGTGTGTACTCAGCAGTCTGTCTGTATGTGTATTCATCAGTCTCTGTATTCAGCAGTCTTGTGTGTGTGTATTCAGCAGACTGTGTGTGTATGTATTGCATTTGTTGGAGATACTAATAAATATAGGCTTAATTTTATCTATTTATATCATTATTTAAAATTTGTATCATTGAACTCTCTGTGTTCTTTTAAAACCAAAGTTATTAGTTCGGACAACAGTACGAGTTGTTTTTTTTCTAAACTTAAACCTCAGTATTTGGGTTTAATTGCCGTGTTGGCACTTTAAGGAGAAAAAATGTTGGCATGTATTGCGGTTTGGGCACTCGGGCTCAAAAAGGTTCGCCATCACTGCTCTAGTGGCTGTCTCTTGACAGCTGCTAGAGGCGTTTGTGTGCTTCTCACTGCTTTCCTATGAGACTGGCTGAATGCGCGCGAGGCTCCTGCCGCGCATGCGCATTCAGCCAAAGAGGAGGAGAGGAGGTGGAGAGAAGGAGGAGAGCTCCCCGCCAGGCGATGGAAAAAGAGGTAAGTTTAACCCCTTCCTCCACCCAGAGCCCGGCGGGAGGGGGACCCTGAGGGTGGGGGCACCCTCAGGGCACTATAGTTTTCCTGGCACTATAGTGGTCCTTTAAATAAAATATAGGCACCTTCCTGACTGCTGGAGGAAAGAAAAAAAAATACTTTGATTTTTACAGAGGGAAGGGAACTTATAAAGATTTGTTAATTGATACTTCCTGTCCTAGCTGTTAAGAGGGGATTTAACCCATTAGTGATGCTGCCATGTTGGCCACTAACTAACTGACACTACATTCCCTGAAAACCGGGTTATTAACTAGAGTGAGAAAGAACTTTCAGGAATTCAACTTGCATTTAAATTTACTGTCCACGTATCTGAATTGGAAGAATAGGGGACTTGAGAGATTTTTTTTTTCCAGTTCGGCTATTTTGGCCTTTCCTTTGAAATTCTTTTTCAATTCATAATACACTTCTTACAATTCTTTCTTTAGTGAATAACCCTTAAAGACACAGTGAGATGAGTAGAGGGACGTGCCACATTTCACTCCTTATTTGCCATTCAATGCTATATCACATATCTATGAATGCCACTTCAGCTGATTTGCCATGTTTCATTTCCTTGGCCATTTGTGCCAGATCACCCCATATCTTTCAGTGCACCACTGCACCCTACCTTAGTGTGTATATATATATATGAAGGGGTCCACTCCAATACGACACCACTGGAGGTGCAAGCAGGAAGCTCTAAACCTATCATGAGACCACCAAGCAATGTAATGCCCCTTCCCTGGCCAGAGGTAAAAAAAAAAACCATATAAAAATAAAACTGATAAACGTTCACCTCCTACAGCACACAGCCACCATCCTACCCCTCCTGTATACACACCCTGTATTCACTATACAAATACTATGTTTCCCTATATACAGGAACAGGAACACACACATTCTCCTAATGCAGCTCTAAGTGCATGCACGATGGGGGGCCCATACCTTTAAACTGTGTAAGAGGCTCATCATTTTGTGACTGCCGCCCTGGATAGAGCTATTGTTGTGATGTGTTGGCAGTAGATATCAATGGCTCCCTAACAGGGGACATAAATTCACCATGTTGCTGTGAACGCTAAGTACATCTCTGACTGTCAAAGGTTACAGCACTTAGCAGCGGAACTATCGCTGGTGCTGCTGAACTGGGACTCGCACACTGAAGGGATTTATCGGAGGGGGACACATGCGCTTAGGGCCACTTGATAGGCGTTTGTCCTCAGGGGCTGGACATGCACTGTGACCATTTAACAGCAAGACGGCCCCTCTAACATCTGCAGCCAGTGCTGTGAGGAGGCAACTGACTTTCTACATCCCCAGCCAGCAGAAGCCACCCTCCTGCACCCAAAAGGTAGTAAACAGGAGGATGGCTAAAAGATGACCAGCATGTGTGCCTGTATCTGTGTCAGTGTTTATATCTGTGTATGTGTGTATCTGTATGTTTGTCAGTCTGTGTATCTGGGTGTTTATGTATCTGCATGTGTCAGTGTGACTGACTGTGAATCTGCATATGTGTCGGCGTTTGTATCTCTGTGTCTGTGTATCTGCATGTATGTCAGTGTTTGTATTTGTGTGTCTGTATATCTGCATGTGTCAGTGTTTGTATATGTGTGTCTGTATGTGTCTATGTATCTGTACGTATGTCAGTGTTTGTATTTATGTGTCACTGTTTGTATGTCTGTGTGTTAGTGTGTGTATCTGTATGTGTGTCAGTGTATATGTATACATTTCAGAATTCAAACATCAACACTACATACAAATCACATCCCTACATCCACATACTCCATACAAAAACATACTTACATTCAAACACACAAACACTGCTCAGCGCTAAATACAACCCTGCAATGTGGGCAAATGGTAAACCTTTTGGGCACTCTTGCAATGAAATTCTTGCACCAGGGCCCTCTGTATGTTAGTCCCATCACTGAATGCACTAATATAAATAAATAATGTTTGTAGACTATAATAATATAATATAAATGAACCCACACATTGAAGGGGACATGCAGTCAGTGTAGAGGTTAATGTTCCCAGCCTCCCATCCTGTAATGGACATTCCTATACAGAACCCCAGCTGTTACATTGTTACACAGAGCAAGCTGTGACCACGTGGACCTCCCTGTACAATACTCTGCAAACAGTGGGCGTGGCTGCTGCCCATAATAAGGAATGGGCGTGACCACGCAAAGAACATAGAGCGAGGGATGGGCGTGGCTGTCGCGTACAGTGAATACAGAGTGGGCGTGGTTACCAATCCGAAGTTGGGTGTAGGAAGGTGGCTGCTGCTTACTTCCGGTGAGAGGAGCAAGATGGCTGCGTGCATACTGAGTACACACCAAGCAAAGGGTGAGCTGGACCAACCAAGTAAATAGAGTGTGTGTGAATATAGTGTATGATGTGTATTTTGTATGTGTGTGTGTATGGGGTATGGTGTATGTATGTATGGTGTGTGTATGCTTTAAATTCACAGGGCACACTGTCCTGCAGGTAATATCTGTCCTGCAGCTATCCCTGTGAATGCTGTGCTAGTGGAGGACATGGATTTAGTGTGTACTGTGAGCTGGATTACTGTATATTACTGTATATTGCTGAATATTATTACTGTATATTAATACTGTATATTGCTATACAGGAATCTCAGGGCGATATTTACTAAGGTGGGAATTGTCAGCACTTCGAAGGGAACCTCGACGTTAAAGCTAAAATGGTAGAATAGAAATCATAGCAGACTTTTCCAATTTGGACTAAAATTTGAAATGTACTTTAACCTCCCAGCAGTCAGTACTTAAAGGGACACTGTAGGCACTGTAGGCACTGTATCTGCTTCATCTCATTAAACTGGTTATAGTGTCTGGAGTCATCTGGTACCATTATTTCTTTCAGCATTAAACAGTTTTTAAACTTTTAATGTTTTAATGCTAAACAAGAGTCCCCGGCATCCATCCCCTCTGTGATGCTTTGGCTAATAAGGAAGTATTAGCCTGAGCAGCAATAGGCAACTGTGATTGGCTGAGAGTGTCAGCTGACTGCTTTTAGCCTGTCAGAGTTCCAACTGACGGTATGAATGGGTATGACAACAAGGAAGAGTGTAATCTCTGCCTTAGCTACACATACTGAAGGGGCCGGACTGTGGGTGGCCAGGGACTCTTATTTTGTGGCATACTGCACAAACATGGTTGCAACACTGAATGTAGGGACAGTGCCAGGGTACTCCAGGCACTATAACCAATTCAAAGAGATGAAATGCTTATAGTGACTACAGTGTCCCTTTAATGAATAAACTTGGTAGATGTGGGTGATAATAAATAGATTGCTAATTCCAAGATCGATGAGACTGTAGGAAAAAAATCACATATCTGCAAATTCTACCTGTGTAAGAGTGCAACTATCTGGAGTCTGATCTAAGAGGCTCCATGAGATTGTTTGCATGAAGAGGGAGCTTGTCTGGCAGTTTTTTGAGGTCTAGAATGAATTTAATTTTTTTTTTCACTTTTATGATAAATCAGCATTCCTGGTTAAATGGTTGTGTTGTTGGTGGGGGAGTTTAGACTCGAAATGGAAATGGTCTATTTTTTTTTCACTGCCTTGCTGTTTGCAGAACAAAAATTGTTTATATTTTATATATACACAGCAGATGAAATTTGTATCTTGCTATACCATTTTTATTGGACTAACAAGAAATGCCTAGACTTGCAAAAAATATTTTTTTGAAAGCTTGTCATTTCAACATTCTGTTTGTCCAATAAAAAAAAGGTACAAGATACGAATTTCATTTGTTATTTTATATGTGCATCACAGGATTAATACAGCTACAATCTCTACTATATATAATCCTTGCACTCAGGCTATATGAATATATACTTGCCGGGTGCTCAGCCTGGGACTTTAATATCCAGATAGTAGTAGAAATGGCAGCAATCACGGTCTCCAATAAAATTCTTATTTATTTGCAAGATTTAAAACATGGGATCAACGTTTCAGTCCCTGTATGGGACTTTCATCGGGATCAATCAAAGAATTTTATTGGAGACCGTGATTGCTGCCATTTCTACTAAAAAAAATATATATATATATATATATAATATAATATATACACACACACACACACACCTCAAATAAAGCCGAGGTGTCAGAAAATTTGGGTAGTGATTCGACTTCGGTCGGCCAAGGGCCCCAAAGCCATTGGTCACCCCAGATGGCGGCAAAGCCTGTGTTAGCTGTAGCATCTGTCCACAGTGTAGGTAAAGTGTCGGAGGGGGGTGGTATAAACATGGTTTGCCCGTTCCAAGAGGTGAGAAAGACCCGCCACATGCGTAAATCAGAAGTTGCGTGTACATCTAATGTGTTATGTGAAATGTCCGAAGAAAACAGTGGAAACAAGGATAACAGGTGGGATATAAAAGATCTACCTTGGGGTATGATCCTCATGGCAAAATTGAGCGATCCAAGTAGTGATTGGAGTTCTTTCCGATTGCAATGACCTTGTAGCAGGTAATGTTCAATACTTGCAAGGGTACGCTCAATCTTGTCCTGAGGTAGACTGGCCTGCATGTGTATCGTGTCTAGTTGTATGCCCAAAAATTGCATGTAGGTATCTGGACCCAACGTTTTGTGAGGAGAGACAGCAATGTTAAGAGATTCAAACAGTGCCAATAAGTGATTCAAACTACTAGGTGAAAGAGTGTTATTCTCAATCAAGAGGAAATCGTCCAGATAATGGATAACCGAAGGGCACTTGCACAACATAGAGCCTCTGCAAACATGTCAAAAATACGTGGACTGCTTTTGGAGCCGAAAGTTAGTCGGGTGAAAAAATAATACCTCCCTTGCCATTTAATACAGTGTAGATGCCACAGGGAAGGGTGTATGGGTAGTAGCTTGAAGGCATTTACCACGTCTGTTTTACTCAGCCATGCTCCCGTACCTGCTTGTATAATGGCCCCTATGGCATGGTCGATAGTGGCGTAGTGCAGTGAAAATTCTTCAGAAGGTATTAGAGAGTTAAGGCTGGGGACAGTGGAGGAGTGTGGTGCTGATAGATCAATTATCAGTCTGGGTTTAAGTGAGGTCTTCCCTGTGACCACCCCTATAGGGTTGGTTCTCCAGGACGTGAAGGGTGGGGAAAAGAATGGTCCCAACAGAAACCCATGTTCCAACTCAGTTGAGATAAGTGTATTTACCAACTGTGGATCGTCTAATGTGGACTGTAGGTTGTCGCATTCCAGTGTACCGGAGGGTAAATGGACCAATCCGGTGTGAAAACCCACGGTCATGCCCAAAATAATATATTCAGTGAAATGACGTGAAGGATGTGGCTGTAAAAGTGATGTCAATAAAGTGACGTTCACACACGTGTGATACGGTTTTAGGAATGCTTTATTTGGGCACATGGTTTTGGCATGGGCTCTAAAACAGTGTGAACACACATGCATCAGTCTACATGAACTAAAACCACATTGCCCGCATTGAAATTATTGCATATCTGAGATTTACCCAGGAATACAATGTCTCTCCCCAGCTTGTCTTTTAAACCCTTGGTAGCTTTAGGAAAGTTGGGGGAAGATTGGTTTTGTTCGATCTCAGCTGTGTTTTGGGCAGAGATTAGTGTGGTGTGCTGTAGATGCGTATACTGCACACGCTGGAGGCCTGAGGCCTGCAAAATGCCTGCAGAATAACTCAGTGTCCAATTTGCTCCAATTAATGCTTAAATTGAACTGAGCCAGAGCTGCAGCCACCTTTGCAGAAAAGGAACGGTGGTAATCGTAAAAAGCGGTACCACCATATTTGTGCCCCAGGTCCACCATCTTGTGCATGTATGCATCCAGCTCTGCTCTTTTCCCTGGGTATACTGAGCAGTACACATCCCTATAAATCCCAAAACCCAGTACAAATTCAGGTATTGACAGTTTTTTGTTTAGTCTCAGGTCTCTAGACCTTAGTACGACAGATATATCCCCATGTGCAAAAGTCCCATTCTCTAGGACATCCTGGGAGGCTATAAGCAATGACACCAGGTTGACCTCCTTGCCTTCCAGAATGTCCTTTTTGTGGACCCAGGACATACCGTATATACTCGAATATAAGCCGAGGCACCTAATTTTACCACACAAAAACAGGGAAAACTTATTGACTTGAGTATAAGCCTAGGGTGGAAAATGCAGCAGCTACTGGTAAATTTCAAAATATAAATAGATACCAATAAAGTTACATTAATTGAGGCATCAGTGTTTTTGAATATTTATTTACAGTGTGTGTATATAATGAATGCAGTGTGTGTGTGTGTGTGTTTGTATAGTGTTTGTGTGAATGCAGTGTGTGTGTCTGTTTGTGTAGTGTGTGTAAACTCGGTGGGGGGAGGGCATTTTTATTATTTAAATATTTTTATGTATTATTTAAATATTTAATTTGTTAACTTTTTTTTTTTAGCCCCCGCCTCCCTGCTTCATACTTGGCCAGGGAGGGGGATATGTCAATCCCTGGTGGTCCGGTGGCATGGGCTGTGCAGTGGGGGCCCGCAGAAGCTCTTACTTACCTTCCCAGCAGCTCCCTGTGTAAATCTCACTGCCAGTGTGCTGCGCAGAGTGTTGCCATGGTAACCCGTGGCAACGCTCTGACGGTCGCAAGATTTAGACAGGGGACCTGAAGGGAGCTGCTGGAAAGTTAAGTAAGAGCTTCTGTAAGCAACTATAACCATGTCATCTCCTAAAAACTGGTTATAGTGTCTGGAATCCCAAAACATTGTCCCTCCATTCAGTGCCCACTCCATCATTAAGCAGTTTAAGACTGAATGAGAGTTCCTTGGCTCCCCACAGCCCTGCCTCGACTGGACGTATGGCCAAAGCTCAGATTACGCACTTCTTTCTAGCCATAGCTGTTCATACCTGAATGGGTAGTGTGCTAGGTTGAAAACGATCAGCTGAGACTCTCAGCCAATCACAGTCGTCCATTGCTGTTTAGGCTGTAGCTTACTCATTAGCCCAAGCAGCACAGAGGGGATGAGCTACTTTTTTTAGCAACAAAATCTAAAAAAACAGTTTAGCACTGAATGGGAGTATGGCGCCAGGCACTCCAGACACTGTAGCCTCTTCAATGAAATGAAGCAGTTACGGTGCCTGCAGTGACTGTTTGAGGATGTTTCATATTTAATCATTAATTGAAGGGGGTATAGTAGGTTAAGTTGATATTTGTGATTTTTGTAGAAATCTGCTTAAAGAAAAACCCAGTTTACAAATTGTAACAGAAGAGTTGTTTTGTCCATAATTATATTTTTAGTTTCTGTACAGGAACTGTTTTCTTCCCGAATGCAGCTTCCCTGGATTATAATATTTTCCTTATTTTGTGTTTGTAGGATTAGTAAATAACTCTGCAATGGATGTCCGAAGTGTCCTCTACGAGACTTCAGCCGAACTCTCAAAAATTAATGATGGCGATAAACTGGTCCAGGTGTTTATGAATATAAAAAAATACATGGACGTAGACGAGGATTCTGCTCCACTCAAAGAAAAGGCAGAGTTCAAAAGGGTACATTACACCCCTTTCCTTAGGCTTTTAGTGAGCAACATGGGACCACGGTGGGTGGATCTACTGACACCTGAGAGGCTCGAATTGTGGGACAGTTTCTTCCTAGAAGGACCTCCTGATCAGGCATTCCTGGTCCTCCTTGACAGTGTGGAGAGAACAAAGTAAGTTCTGTTTTGGAACAAGACATTTACAAGAGCAATTTACATGTGTTTTGTTTGTTTTCGAGGAAGGATACATGATGTGTTAGGAATGATATAGTGTATTAATCGGGCAAGCTCTGTATATGCGTGGAGCCTGATGTAATAAAGAAGAATGTTGGTAAGGGAGTATGAATGAGACTATAGAAAGAGCTTTCAGGATTATTCACTAAATTTAATGTTAAAATAGCAGAACTAGAACAATTCTCTGGCTTCTATTTTGTACTTGTAATAATTTCAGTTTCTTCTTCTTTCTGTGTCTTTTTCCAGTTGACCGATATATACGTCTTTTGTATATATAGTCTTGGGTCAATACGCCTATATTAATGAAATGTACTAATACGCGATCTGACTTACGGTTTATTCTTAGTTACTGATACATAATAAAACAACAAAGGATGTTACATGATCATGGATGTTCAACAGCAGATGGTAATTGCTGGACCCCTAAAGGGAGAGTTACATCGTTACATAGCTGTACAAGAGCCGAGAGAGAGACCTCGTGTCCCTTTGTTCAGTTACTATATAGATGTGCCCATACTGATGTCAGAGTATAACTCTAGCCATATAAGGACAAGACCCCCAATCCACATTCCAGAGTTCTCATACAAGAAAACCTTGTGACTTATGATAATCCATACATCCATAAATAATCAATAGAAACATAGAATATGCAATATTCTACAGTCCTTAAATCTGAAATTCAATTAGATCTCTCAGTTAAGTGAAACCCTGCTTGATTTCAGTTCTGTCTAGAACATTGGCTAAGCCATGGTTCCAGAGCTGTCTGATACATGGTCTGCATACAGTTCTGATGATCCCTCCAACCAGACCAGCTCTGTCACCCAATGCTGGGAGGACTGTTGTAAAGTGCAGTGTGAGCACATGGTAAAGACGCTTACGCTGTATTTATTACGATATCAGGGCTTTTTAGCCAATAAGAGAGCACTTCAGGACACAACATATAGGCAGCCATGACTGACTGCCTTGGCAGCAAGTCTGTGGTCCGGGAGCAAATGCTCCCCGAGTTGAGACAGCCCCATTATGGATGGGCGTGTTGTCCATGACACTAATTGTATTGTGATCAAGTGCCCTGACCATCCTCCTACCTCTTTTTGAGCAGGGAGTTGCTGTAACTGACCATTTCTTGATATTGATGAGAATCCAAGGTGTCTTGTGGTTGCATTATGTGTATTCTGTGTGGAATATATGTGTGTAAAATATGTGTGTGTGTATGTATGTATATGTATGTGTGTGTGTGTGTGTGTGTGTGTGTGTATATATATATATATATATATAATAGCTGAAGAATAATCCAAGATGCACTCTCAGGACTTGTGCAAAAAATCCGTTTTATTTTAAATCATGTGCAAAAGAAAAACCAACGTTTCGACCTCTGCAGATCTTTTTCAAGGTTAATAAAAGACCTGCAGAGGTCGAAACGTTGGTTTTTCTTTTGCACATGATTTTAAATAAAACTGATTTTTTTTTTGCACAAGTCCTGAGAGTGCATCTTGGATTATTCTTCAGCTATATATGGAACGCACACCATTTGCACCCAGGCGGATATAAGGGATTTCAAGTAAGGAGAGTGCCAAGCTACTTATCTTTTATTTATTTATATATATCTATATATATCTATATCTCTCAAACTTTCTGCTAGCCATTGGAGAGTGGAAATATAGGCCTGGCGAGTGTGCAGTGGAACCCGCGGGGGTGTAGTTGCGAATAACTTGTTTTCCTTCCTACTCCAGACCTAGCATCTGCCTGGACAGATGTGTGCATGTTCTAGAGCGATTCCTGCAGCGGGGGGCACTGGCTGACCTCATATGGGAAATTTGTCAACAGCAGCTGGAACCTACCCCCACACCAGTTTTGCATGATGTTATTCTCGGAAGAATCTGCAGCTTGCCGGACCATCTAGCCAATTCCCTCCAAAAACGAAACAAACCCCTCTTCTACCCAAAGAACTACTACCCCCGTGTGGCGGGCGCCATCCTGCGTGTGCTTCGTATGATCTCAGATTCATTGAGAGGTATGCACTTCCTCGTGAAATTGCCAAATGTTTTTCTGTTGTTAAAGGGTATTAAATGGCTGAAGGGTGAATATAAGGACAGGTAGAAATCCCTAAGCTGCCCCTGGAACACAAACATCAATTTGTTATTCAGGATCCATAGAAATAATGAGCTTAAAATGTGGATTTTGCTTTTGAATCTCCATTTTAAAATGTATGTTAATATGCATTTCTACAGACTGGTAATGATATAGTTATTAATTGTTATGTTCACAAAGGGCTGAGGTGAACACGTTATAACATCTTAAATGTTGGCAGTTAATAGTATTTATCTTATTAGTAGTTAATAGTATTTTCTTTTAAAAGTAAGAGTCAGTGTTTCCCATCTCACAATCACATATTATATTTTCCTCTACAGAAGGGAAAGGATGTTCAATCTCCTTTGTATCTCAAGTCATGGGAAAAGTCTGCATGCAGGGCCATCAGAGTAAGTATGATCTATGTTGTAGATGCCAAATTTACAAGGTTCTGATTGGCAGGTCCAGTGGGTGGATCTATTACTCTTGTGGTTGTTGAAGTACAGACACAATAAAATTAACCTCGAGTAGGTTGTTTTTTTCCTTCCAGAAAACACACATGAAAACAAAACAGTTATTATCGTTTACTCCCATACATTAAATGGATGTGTAGGTTTTTGATTTTTTTAATTATAAGGACTGAGATAACCTGAAGTAACCTATTTTAGAACTGAGTCTCTTGATGTCTAGTGTTACATTTGTTAAAGAGAAATCTTTACACTGTTTGCTTTTATCTCCAGTTGAGCTGCTTTCCGTTTTGGTGCCTCACCTGCTCACCCTACTAAAATCAGATTGCATCTATCAGAGACTCTCTTGGCGATTGGTGGAGTCAGTGCCTGAGAGATGGATGGATGCCCTAATCACTGGTATTCTTCAAGTGGCACGGGGGTAAGCGACGTCCATCTGCCTTTTTACATTTTTTTGCACAACACCTACACAGACTACTAGAGCTCATGTACCCTTGTTTCTCTGTTTTGCCTTTAAAACAGTCAAACAAGAAAATTTTCACTGAATACCGTACAAAAATGTCTTTTGCAGACCGGCCGATGTATCTAAGTTGTTGGGTGATTTGGTTTTGAAGAACAAGAAGGTGGAATACTTGTTTACCCAGAAGATGCTATTTTTGCAGTACTGTGTCCAGGTAAGAATGAAAATTGGAGATCCTCCAAAGTTTTAATATTCATTATGTGGATTACTTTTTCAGATAACTATTATGTTTGGTTTCTTGAACATTGTATATCTGTTTTTGTTGCAGAAAGAGAAGCTACAAAGCATTCTGGGATACCTGTCCTTGGAAAAGAGTCGCCGACCTTTAATGGTTAAGGTGGGTTTTGGTATTTTGATGGGAATTGGTTTAAAAACATCCAAAGAATCTGCAAACGTTCTTGTGAGGGATTTCAAGTAATATGTTTTGTTAGAAACTACAACATATTTCTCCACACCTGAGTGGTGAATCCCAGAATGAGGGTAAGCACTGAGCAAGTCGTGTCTCTTTGGCAGGTGCTACGGGAGCTTCTGGAAGTGTGGTCATCTGCTAGTGTGGTCAAGCACTCCCCTCACGCTCAGTTGCTGCATTTGAGCCGTTCAATCCTCATTTGTTTGAGTCTTATGAATGATGATGAGATACAATCCTGCAAAGAAGGTGAGTGAGAGCAAGGAGTTTAGGCTTCGGACAATTTGTTGTCTTTTACTAGCTTGTTATCTTTGATCACGTTACTTCTGCTAACACTGATTTCTTGCTGGTTATTCTGTTCCTCAGAGATAACATTTGCACTGGTTAATGGTACGCATGTCTACCTGGATAATTCAGTTCTGAACACCAGACGGTTGGGGATGCTAGTCTCGGAAGCTTTGAGCAAATATCTTAACCCTGAGCCACTACATTTTGAGGTACGCTTTCGTTATCCTCATTGTATGGATACTTTTCTTCTTAAAGCTTTTTTTTTTTTTTTTTTCTGACTGTCAAAATTGACAACCATGCTATATACTTGACGTACTCCATCATAGAGAGCAACGTTAATGTATGCACGCTACCATGTGTATTCTAGCCTGTGAGATAGCTCAGTGGATAAGTCTCCAGCTGCAGTATGTTCCAGGTTTAATTCCTGTCATGCAAACTAAGCCATGTCATTTACTTCACGGTTCTCGTACGGTGCTTTACAAATTAGGTAAAAAATACACAAATGGTTCTGTAATTAGATACACTGATAGAAATGGGTAGAGAGGCCCCTTCTTGTCTGCTTCAGCCCAATGCCTGCTGCTTTTCAACAAAGTACTTTGAAAGAAAGCCCCCTGAGCTTACAATGTCATATGTTTTTACTATAGCCCAACTGAAGGTAAAAGGATTTCTCTTTCAGTATGAAGAGGACGAGGAGATAAAAGAACTAAAGTCACTTTTGTCTCCACCATGTATTTGTCCTTCAAATGTAGAAGAGTCAGTGAAGATCCCCGGAGAAAGGTATGTAGGTGTATTGTGCACTGCAGTGTTGGGCTGAGTTGCTGGTCAGTAAAGTGGGACCAATATGTTATTCATACCGGGACTCCTACTGTACTAATCGGGTTTATCTATTCTAGACAACGGCATCCTTTGAAAAAAAGATATTTACCTGGAGAAGGTTCAATGGGTGGGGGTGGGGTGGTAGACTTTGCCTTACAGCGAATCATGGAAAGTTTGTCTTGTCAAAGGCTAGAAAGCCGCAGCTTGCTCATCCTGGGTTGAATTTTAGGGAAGGGGAGAAACCACTTTATTTACAGCCTATGTTCCTCTCACAGTTCCCCTTCCAATGTGTCACCTCCCAGAAATGATGATGTAAAGCCTGAGGAGGGCTCTAGGTCTGCCAGCAGATCTGATTCTGAACTGGACAGGTGAGTGGTGCATGGTCATCCCATTTCCTATTAAGTTTCACTAGACTGTGTTTTTGCAGGTCTGGAGTAAATGGTGAGCATTCCCAGCAGGGGGAGCTCCGGCAGAATACAAGATTTTACTAAGAGACTGAAGTGTTTTTAAGAACTGTGTGTGACCTGTAAACGTAGTGGTAATGGCAGCAAAGGAAGATTAAATGTCCACATCCATCATGGGATGTACTCCACAGCGGCTACGATGCCAAAATCTAGCCAGACTGAGCTGAGCTTGCCTGGTCGAAGAGGAACCTTTACAGATTGTTAATCATGTATTTACACTGTACAGAAAGCTCAGTGTGTGTTTGTTTGTCTCCTATCCCCTTGCTGTCCCTTTTAAAACCTTGTGTCATTTAATTTCTAACAGTGATGATGACCTTGTACCATATGACATGAGTGAAGACACAGAGTTAAAGAAGAGTAGTGCTCCAGCCTACATCCGAGATTGCATGGAAGGTGGGATGGGGGCTAATTGTGTCCGAGTACCACAACTTTAAATTGTGGAGCCTGCAACTTAAAATGATGGGGTTGCACGTATTGTCTGGCTATTCCTCTACACAATTAAAAAGTGGGGGGAGGGGGGCAATGTAAATAGATACGCTCAAAGTTCCTGCAGTTGTAGAAAGCACCTTCCCAGATCAGGGAAATATTCAACCAATCTAGAGCCTCTCATTCCTGTGTGCAGAATTCTCAGTCCTGTTCACAGCGCTTTACATGAGGCTGAGCACAGCATTCATATGACATATTTAACCCAAAATAGATGAGGTGGAGAATTTTACTAGCTCACCTGTTTTGGCCTAAAATTAGCAATTACTGTAAATCTTCACAATTCACACAGTTTAATTCCTTTTGCTGATTGCGCTGCTTATTCCTCCTCCTCCCCCCCACCCTTTTTTCCTTTTTATTAAAGTAGTGCTAAACTTATACCTTTCTTCTGACTTATTGAGGTCTTTTTTTCTTTTTCTCTCAGTGCTGCTATCGGATGACCTTGAAAAGGTGGAGGTGACCATGAGAGCGCTGGCTCCCTTGATTCGTGCAAACACAGCCGCCACCAAAGAGGTATAAATCGGGTACTGCTGAGATTAATGGGGTGTCCAATTTTATATTACCAGGATCCTTCTACAGTTGGCCCCACGGATATTCACATGTTACTGATTTTTTTTTTTTTTCTACCACGCTACAGGTCAGTGTTGAACTGGTGAAGATGCTCCTGCATATTGACCAACCTGGCATTGAACATTTTGAAGAACTGCGGCACGAAGCTCTAGTGGCTGCAACCGTTGTGGATCCTATATTGGTAAGTGTGGCTTGAACAGAGGGTTCATGACGGCTTATGTCTGTGGTCAAAGCTATAGATTGTTGTTGTTTTTTCTCCTGTTTAAAATAGTGATTTAACTGGGATCTCGTAAGACCAATTGTACTCTTCTCACAATGTAACTGGTTTTCATACTAAGATTTTTGTGTTTTCACAGGCGTCAAAGTATCTTACTGGTGAATTCTACTCCTTAAACTACAGCCTGCGGCAGCGGATGGATATTTTAGATGTAGGTACATTGTTTTCACTGAGGATCCATCCATAAAGACCCTGGCAGAGGGGAATGCTGTTGGGTGTCAAGCTTGCTTTAACGTGTTTTTGCCTTTGCCCAATTATCTTCTATTTACACACTGGAACCTCTGTTTTCAGGTTTTGGCATCTGCAGCCAAAGACCTTTCAAAACTGGTGGCTCCGGCAAAATCTGTGAAACCCAAGCCTCAGCCTGCTAACAAGTCAGGCACCCCAAACACTGCTGCTACTGCTGACTGGAAGAAGATAGTGGAGGAGAGGATCGCAATGAAAACTAGGAGGTTTGGCAAGGTATTCATTGGGCAGAAAAGAAACTATATCCCAAACAGCTGAGAATTGGAATCTCCACTGTAGTCTGGATCAGAGGCTGCAACAGAATGGGTGGCAGCATCAGTCACAAGAATAGCTTTTCTATATTTTTTTTTTCTCTCCCATTTTCAACCTAAATTATTCTCTTATTACAATTCACACGCCTTCAGCTGCTTGATATAATTCATGTAGTAGCTGGCTTTGAATTAAGAAGGTTACAAAATTTTCCCCAATGTGTATCTTCAATCAATGTGCTTTCAAAACAGCTGTGGCAGAGAATCATGGGTGATGTAGTGCAGCGTCCCCTGGTTGCCATTCTTGCCTAGCCCTAGTCCTTCTACAGCCAGTATTTGAGCAGTTGTACTGATCGCTAGATAACACTGGAAGGTAGCCATACACTTGCACCTTACTGTTTGATGCCAGTAATGCAAACTTTTCCTGTCCTACATCATGTAAAGCAGATGTGCGTGTGTGTTTTATAAGCTATAAAATGGATGGCTTGCCCTTCTTTTTTTTATTTATTTATTTTCTCTCAACAATTATTGTTTCTTTCTCCTGAAGTTCTGCTTTCTTTTATATATTTTTTTTCTCTTTTCCTTAGGGACAATCGGCTCCTGAACCGGTCTCAGTCCCAAACAGTTTTCATGTAGTAGCCGGACACTTCTTTTTTCCACTTATTCAAAACTTTGACAGGTAAGCGTGCGCTACATGGGTTTGTACTGGGAATAATAAACAGATCTTTGTTCAGTTCTGTATGGCTGTCACCCATGGAAACACAGACATGAAAAGGGGGTCTTACAATTTTAAGATCTCTTGGCTTTTAAAATGCCCTCAGCAAATTAGTCCATGATGCGCCAAAGTTCTAAATTGATAATTAGCAAAAATTGTTATCTTGCAGCCAGATTAAGGACTGAAAATTGACATCAAATCTTTCCTGAACTCATCTATGTATGTGTCATTCTATTCTCTGCAGAATTATCCTGATTTCAGTTATTGTAATGAGAACTAACCATGCGTTTTTACATTGTGTTTAAAACCCACAATGGTGACTTTACATCCACCTTCTGCAGAGATAGAGATGCCAATGAATCATTCTATGCACTGAGTTGACAGCCGACTGGGCTTTCTTGTGATGCTGCCAGGGGAGGGGAATGGTTACACATCTGGCTGTATCATTAAAAATCTTTGTGTGTGCAGGGTTTCATAGGAAAACCCTGTGCGTACAGACTCCATGCACCATGACCACTTCACTTCAGTGTTTTGGTCATGGTTCTTATTCCAAAACGCATCCATACTTTATGACAGTATGATAAAGCATGGACTTTTTTTTGTTTTGCATTTTTTCCTTCTCATGGTTTATTTTGCATGCATAATGACCAGCAATATTTTTTCTTTTTTTTCGAAGACCTGTCGTGACATTTGATCTTTTGGGCGAGGATCGTCTGGTACTTGGGAAGTTGGTGCACACACTTGCCTGCCTGATGCACCTTTCTACAAATGCCACGGTAATGAATGGCTGTGGAAGGGTAACTGGCACTGCAGTATTATCGGGTTGGAAAAACGGTTTTACTTCTATCTGAACATTTACAGTGTTCATTGTGGTATATATGCCCTTGAGTTTTAAGCCAATGATCTATTTTGCTAAATTTGACTTTATACATTCCTGACTCTGATGGGACATTTTGCATTTACTGATGTTATCACCAAAGATGCATCTTGCAGGAGGGCTAGAATGTCTTGAGTTTTCTGGATGCTGTATAGAACTATTTTACTAAGTGGTTCTAAATACATTTCATAGTCAGGTGCACAAACGCCAGTCATCTCTTTGGTAACCCATACTTTTAAGTAGGCCTTCTGCATTTGGTTCTGTGATGACCATCACAATATCTCTGCTGGCTGGAGATATTCTATTTAACAGACATCATAAATATAATGGCTTTGCCCCCATGTTAAGATGACTTGAATTGCAATCCTCGTGGCCTTGTGTGTTTCCGTGTTGGAACTGGTCTATATTCTGCAAAAGGTTCGTGTTAATTTAATGTGTTTTTTCTCGGTTCTTTAAAGGTTGCTTCACAAATGGGGAAGGCCCTTCTGGAGTTTGTTTGGGTTCTTCGCTTCCATTTGGACCCGTAAGTATATAATCACCAGAAAATGATGGTTGGTTGGGGTCAGACTTGGATTACCAGAAAGCTGACACGACTTGTTTATTGATGGATTTCCTTTCAGGTATGTGAGACAGGGACTCCTCTTCTGTGTCTCCACCATTCTACTCAGTGTCCCCTGGGAGCGATTGATGACTGACATGGGCGAAGAGGTCATTGAGACACAACGTTGGCTGGCAGGTAAATATATGCAATAAATTGTCTTTCTTTCAATAAACTCTCCTGATCCCCTTCCAGTCCTCCCTGCTATTTTATTAATCAACATCTTCTCCATGAATTGTCTTGCCCTAAATTCCTCCTTATCACTCAAAATAAATTGTTGGTGTACACCTACTTTCTATCTGCCTTAGTGTGATGGGTGTAATTGAGGTTAATGTAAGTTATGTTCATTTATTCTGAGATCTGACAGTTATCATGCATTCCAGTGACATTGGCAAATTGTTTGGAAATGTCACAGAAAACTGGAGATTTCACACAAGGAAAATGTTGATTGCGGTAATTCTCAGCAAGTTTAACTCCTAAAACTGAATGCAGGAATGAGCATCTTGGTCATTATTAAGCAATTTCCAGGACAACTGCAAAGCTGATAATCTTGGCTCTGCAACTCTCACTAGGGGGCCTAAGGTCTCCAATAAACACATGCCCTCTCCTGGCAAGGAAAACTCTAAATAACAGCTTTCTGTAGTGATTATAGTGCCAGGACTGCCATGGCATCCCCCATTGTATGTAGTCAAATAAAACCAGTTTAACTCATTACATGGGCTCCCAAGGCATTGGCCACTGTCTATCCCACTGTCTACACTACAGCCAACAAAGATGGAGGTTACTGATTAGGAACTCCTGAGCTCAGACCTGCAATGCTAGTACAGTGGTGGCGGGAAGCCTGGCTGGGTGATCCCCAGGTAAGCCATAAAACCATTCTAAAATATAGACGACATTGGGGGCAGGCTCCAGGGCATTCCTGGCACCATAGTCACTACAGTGCACCTGGGGTGAGTGTTTCTTTAAATTTCCAGTAAAGTATTGAATATGGAATATACACCTACCGTTTTGGGGTTCTTTGTTTTTGCAATGCATTACATTTCTCCTGCTCTTGTTTTTAGATGTAACTGAGCGAGACGTGGATGATGACTGCCGACGCATAGCTTTGAACGGCCTTGTACTGATGGAGAAATTAAAGAAAAATCTTCACGGCGGAAATAAGAAATAAACCTGAAAATTCTCTTTTAAAGTACAACTCTCATCACAAATTTATCTTATCTTTTTTTTAACAGGTTTTTTTTTACTTTTTTTTTTGAAAATTAATGTTTTTATTTTTTAGTTTTAATGGTGTACATTGATTTCTTTTTTATTTATTTTTATCTTCTTCGAGAAAATGTCACTTTATCTGATTGAGCAGCCATGTTGGGTCAGATTCTACTAGATCTGTGTAAAAATCTATTAGTCTGAATAAAATGCCTGTTGCATTACCAGAACCAATCCATTCGTAATTTTATTCAGACGAACCGCTTGAGAGGAATTTTTTCCCTGCGTCTGGATTTTACTGAAATCTGACCAACTACTTCTCGACCCAAGCTGCCGCTGTAATTGCTCTGTGTGAAACTGCCGCAGGCGGCAAGTTTGGTTGAGTAGCAGTTTGCCAGATAACCGAATCTGATCAAACATGTCTGCTCAGGCAGATAAAGTGAAATCTTCTCAAAAATCAATCATCGTTAAAAAAAAAAAAAAAAGAAGAAAAAAGTTACGTTTCATGACGTGTGACGAACCGTTAAAGAAAGAAAGAAAAAAGAGAGAGAAGTGAAAATTTGTTGACATTTGTCCCTTATAGGAACACTCCGCACACACAAGGCACTTCAGCTTGCGTTTTGTGTCTGGAGGCTGTCATATTTGTTACCGTTTATGAACGTGCAAATTTCGATAGAAATCGGTACTTACTTAAGGGCAGAAACCCCTCCCTGGCTGTCCGTCAGAACCAGGCATGTTTTTCTCCTCTTCAGTAAGCTCCGTACAGCAAATAGAAGCAGCAGGCACCCTAAACTACAAAGCGTCTGCCTCTCCACTTCTCAGAAATTTAGGGCTGCAGCTTTTACAAGCTATTTTTTATATGCAGCTAAATAATAATTGCAGTAAAAAAAAAATCATACCTGTTTTTCTTGGAGGTATATCTGCTAAATTGTTAAAAAATAAAATAATAAATATATATATATATATATATATATATATTGTTCAGTGGAGTGTTCTTGTAAGCCTAGCATCCTTTTTAGATAGCCTCCTACTTCCCGCACCATTGACAATTATGTCCTGTTCAAAGTGTTCTATTTAATAATAATAATAGTTAAAATGATATCTCATTCGGATTATTTAAAATGGAATGTGTCTCCCTAACTATCTAGTAAGAGTAGGAGGGGAAACACAAACATGAAGTCGTTGCTGACCAGATTCTGTCAACTATTTGTGTTGCAAAAACACCAGAAGTACTAAAGAAGAAAATTAAATAAATTCCATCTGTCTCTTCCCATAACGCTAATGGGAATATTCACTAAAGTGTCAACTGTTGAGAATTCAAAGTGATTTTCACACTTGAAGCCCAAACTGGGATCTAGAGTCGGCTATACATGCGTTTTGGCTAATTTGACTTCAGTCTGAAAAGTAAATAATCACTGAACCCATATATTTATTGGTAGTGTTGACCGGACAAGATAAAGATTACCATACACTCTTATCAGACAAGAAATATAACCGTTCATTGTGAAACACTTGATTAATGAGGATAAATATTTTGTTACTTCACTTGAGACAGGGCACCATACCATCTACTGGCGGATGGTTTAGCAGATTAAATTGGCGGAGTTCAGATAAGATGGCTCCTATATGGGATTCTTGGGATTAGTTTCTCGCTTCAGATCAGTTCGGGGTATCCGCTGTAACAATTGACTTCACATTGCTGTATGTACAGGGTGCTACCTGTATCTTACCGATTTTAGCAATCAATTGCTATATGTAAGTGGACTATTCAAGATGCCTGGCCTTCCCCATCGGTTTTTAGGTTCCCCACACTCCTCCTCCTCTTCCCCACCTTTTAAAAAAAAAAAAAAAATATTTTTCTATTTTATTTTTCTTTTGTAAAGGAGAGATGCTTGCTTATCCTGTGTTGGAACTGCTGTAGTGTTTTGTGTACACTTTATTTTGTTGTTTTTTTTTGTTTTTTTTTTAATTGTCAAGTTTTTCTTATCTTGATATGTGAAACCTAAATAAAGATTAATAAAAAGAAAAAAAAAATATATATCTATCTTGTGCATTAGGTTGCTAGGATGTGACCTGCCAAGAATGGAGTACATTGCCTAGGTTAAATGGTTCTATAAATAAAACAAACTATTCTGTGAGGTTTAAAATTTAGTGAATGAATGAGTGTGCTGGATCTTGTATGTTATACACTCACTGACACTCCCTTATCTTTTTATATATTTTTTGTAATTTTATCAAAACTGCAGTTTTTTGAATAGAAAAAAAGTCAGGAGTCTGGCGTTTTCCTTTTACCCTGCTATTATCCCAGCAGTATTCAGAAACAGACTGACCTCATTCTGATGTAGAGTATCGCAACAATGTCTGGGTAATGCCAAAATTCACAGCGTTTGCTTCTTTCAATTTACAGCTAACACACTTTCCTGGCGTTCGAGAATAGTGAACAAGCATGCAATTTGTCCCCAATGCGCTAAAAACCAGAGGGAAAACATTTAAGTAAAGTGAAAAATATGGTATTCGGTGGATTACATTAGTTCCTGAAAGTAAATGCAACCTGCAAAATACAGTGATAATCTAGAAGAGGATTAATCTAAACGTAAAGTGCCTTTTTTAAACATGGCTTAACACTGGAGAGGGGAGGGAAGTCCTGATTTTTTTTTTTTCCCTCTTTATTTTGGCTTGTTCCATCCTGTACATAGAGTCCCAGGGAAGGAAGCAGAGGGACTGGCAGACGCGGAGTCAGGTAGAGGGCACACTATATTAATCCACGCTGGTCCCATGCAAAAAAAAGCTAAAAATACATCATAAGATCATCTTCCCACGACTTTGACTTCTCTGGACCACGGGCGTCTCCAGCTCTTGCAGTCAGTGGGAGGGAGATGACAGTGTTGCTGGGAAATGGGCTGGTGGAAATCCGATTAGCTGTGTGTTATTATCCTTCAAAAGGGAGGATATAAAAAAAAAAAAAAAAATCCCCAGTCCATTCTGTAGATGTTAAAGCAGAAATCAGATAAGTTAAATATAGCCCACGTGTCATTGGAGCCAGAATGCCAGCTAATGGGGTACATTGAATTTCAAACCTAAGGTCGAAATCTAGCGGATCTGGAACAATTCTCTAAGCCGTCTATGCTTTCAGTTTGACTATTCTGAAATTCACTTTCAATTCTCACTTCAGTAAATAGTTCTGTCCTTTGCAAACCACTTATATCAGATTCCACCACACTGGATATAAAACTCTGTAAATAAAATACATTTATACTGCTGGCCCTCAACTGCAATGTGCTGGTATCGGGGTCAACCTTCATATGGTGCCCTTATAATAATTTAAATATTCTGATACCGCACTCTCTAGAAAGCGATTTATAAACTATTAAAGAGAGCACGAGAAGCACCCCTTATGGAAGCAGATTATGAATTTTTTTTTTGTAGATTGTTTTCATGTTTTTGGGCAGCACAAAAGCACAGCTGGGTGATGTATTTGAACAACTATACGCATAGGGACCAGGCAATACATTTTTAGTGACCTGTGATAGGTATACTGTACCATTCCTCAAACAAATCACTAGGGAGAGTGACTTCATAGTAACATTTATACCCCACAGTCAGCTTTTGAGAGTTAGAGGAATGTCACAAGTTTAGATTTCACTTTTTGTAAATTTGAAGAGAAGGGGTATTTCACCACGCTGCTACAGGCACAGAGGTACAGAGAGAAATGACACACTATACCCATCAGTGAGGAGGGACAAAAGAGAATCTCATTTGTGTCCCATATACTCCAATTTGGTTGCACTAGTAACATATGGGAAAATATCACCCTTTGTCTAGACCAGGGGTTCCCAACCCAGTCCTCAAGTACCCCCTAACAGTCCAGGATTTGGGGATTACCCAGTTGTGACTAAGGTGTTTTTACAAAGGAAAAAAAAGCATGGACTGGTAGGGAGTACTCGAGGACTGTGTTAGGAACCCATGTTCTAGACGATTTATATACTTGTCTATAATCAGATTTAAATAAATGAAGACTATGCCTTCTAACCTAAACCGATATGTATCTCTTAATGGACCTCTATAGTGCCTGGAAAACAAACTCGTTTTCCTGGCACTATAGGGTCTTTAGGTCCCCTCCCCCTCCCCCACCCTCAGGGTCCCACTCTCGCCGAACTGAAGGGATTAAACTCTTGCCTTTCTCCAGTGCCTGGCTCCCTCAATGCTTTCCTATGGACGTCAAGCGTCTTCTCGCTATGATTTTCACAGTGAGAAGCGCGGTAGCGCCTCTAGCGGCTGTCAGTGAGACAGCCACTAGAGGCTGGATTAACCCATATGTAAACATAGCAGTTTCTCTGAAACTGCTATGTTTACAGCTGCAGGGTTAACACTAGATGGACCTGGCACCAGACCACTTCATTGAGCTGAAGTGGTCTGGGTGCCTGTAGTGGTCCTTTAAATCTTCCAATGGGTGCTTAGTTTATACTGTTCTAACATTGTGCTAAACATAAAACATCACCGGATCACTTGTTAAATTAATAAGCCCTGTTATAGCAGAAGTGTAGAATTGACAAGCTTTTAATAAAATAGACAAAATGTAATAACATTTTAATGTAGAAACTGACAATAAAAAATAATTTAATTGAGTAAAGTTCTTGGGAGAAAAAAAGTGCCACCAAGTCATTTTCCCGTATAAAAATAACAGCCAGATGAGCATCTTGTTAAATGGATCTGTGCTGGAGATGGAAGAAGGTATTGCTAATGTTATGATCTACTAAACTCTCCACAATCAATGTACCAAACATCCAATTACCTTCAAGGGTAAAGGGGGGGGGGGTGGGTTTCCTTAAAAGTCTGTACTGTGAAATCATTTTGGGCTACATGTATTGCATTGCAGATGAAGGCCCCTGTACGTTGTAAAAAGGTAAAGGCCCATGCTTGTTAAGTGGTGCTGAGATGTCTTACTACAGAGGCACAGCATTTTATTCCTTGTAACCCCCAGCTGTAACTCAGGTTGATGTCACCTGGGTAGGCACACTCAGATTTGAAGTAGGACACTTTGTATTGCCATTTAAATCCAATGGATGATTTTTAAACAGGGGCCAATGATCAAAACGTTGACAAGTAAGCGTTAATCATCATAACCAATATCTGGCATCTCTTCCACCTCCTCACTGTCCTCCACGCTGTTGTGACGGATATGTTCGGGTGCACTGAGCCGTGGGAGTGGTATGGCTAGGGCGCGGTGTACCGCCTCCACAGTACTCTGTGATACATAACATGTCAGGTTGACAGAGGGAATCTTGGATCGCATTTCCTCCAGGGAACGATACGCCTAATTAAATGAAGAAATGTTATAAATGAACACAGTTATACGATACATATATATCATCTGTAAGCAGAGTTACACCGCCTGTCAGTGAGAGCAGGCGTGTTAACCCTTCAAGGACCAAAGACTGTTACTCAATTTCTTTCTGCAGGTGTGAAAATTAAGTTAGCTGGTTGGAACCAGTCTGTGATCATAGCAAAGTGTAATAACTGGACCTTCAGAAGCTAAAATGGAATCTGTTGGGGTCTGAATTCAATTCATTTTCCAGCTGAGAAGCTATATTCAAATAAGTCTCTATCAGGTCCAGAAACAAGATTATTTGAATAAAATGTCTCCACTGGGCTGACCATCCATGTTAGAGGAGGCAAAATAAAGCTTAAGAGAGGTATAGCTTTTACATAATGCATTTGTTACTAATATTGTGTCCACAATGTACAAGTTTTAGGATGGTGTGTTCGCTTTAAGGAACAGTAGTTTTTGGTACCTGTGACCTTTATTAATTAAAATATAACATATACTCCCAGAACCCTCTGCTTCTACAACATACCTTCTGGAAGTCTTGTTGCTGTGCGTAGTGCTCCACGAGTAGCCTATAGACATCACCAACGCGGACTGCACTGTCTAGATCTGGCTCATCCAACAGCACCTCAAACTGCTTGACAGCTTCCTGGCTGTCTGCGGAGTACATCCTATGTGAACAATGAACATTTAATACAGAGAGGTTGCTCTATGTCTGACAGTATTAGAAAGAAGCACCAGAAACCAATGTTACCTCTTAGGTGAATAGTTCAATAGCATACTAGATCACAAAGGTCAAGTTAAACTGACAGTGAGCAGTTTGCATTAGGTGCTAAGAGCAATCCTCCATTTTATAAGGGGCCCTGTATTATGGGCTATATACATACTTTAATTGTATTAGCCTACACAAAAAAGCAACACACATTCACACAATCACCTTCTAGGGTAGCATTCATTTTACAGCCGCCCTTTAGCTTTGAAATTTTTTTGACATAAAGAGGAATTTTGGTCTCCCAATTTTAGAAGCAATGCATTCCTCAATTAACTCTTTCAGGACCAGTGACATGTCACAGTTACAAGAGATTTTCCTAACAGAGGTTAACGAGATGACTGGAATCAGCAGCTTAGTAGAGAATAACAAAGACATACAAGGACACAGCTGAAGAAAGATTAATTATATTCTTTAATTTCTATAAAAGCAGCCATTATATCTGATTTAATTTTGGACTTTGTGAAGGAGTTTGACTGCTGGCGAAGATGCTCAAAGTGGCTTGGGTTCGACTGAGGTTCAAAGTATAGGTTTGTGTTACTAATGAATTGTACCCACTGTCAAAAATGGAGGAGACAACTGACAAAAACGTCAACAAGTGCTTTCTGTTTGGGAACTTAACTATTCTATTATCTATTCTACTTTATTTACCCTGACGTTTTATCCTGAACTCAGCGGAAGGCTGTTCTGTTTTTCGTTTAGAATGGATCTGTGGTTAGGGCTTAGTAGACCTCATTCTGAAACATGGTAATAATATATGTTCAACATCGCTTGGTCAGCAATAGAATATTTTGGCTACTTTGGCCTAATATTCTCTGGTCAATTCTACAAAATTGGCTCTTTAGTGAATAAAATAATGAAATAAGTCAAACTTAGTTTCTTCTACCCAATGGAACAGGAGAGAACAGTTATTATGTAAACATATTAGATAATTTTGTTTTCATTGGGTCAATACTTTTCAATTTGGCCACAATTTGTTAAAATATCAATTCAGTTTCAACAGAAAATCAGGAAAAATTTGTTCATTAAAAAAAATAGAGAACATATTCATGTACCCAAAAAAGAAGCAGCAGCAGCTGGTCAACGAATGTGCGAATGGTACAATGTTCAATACGGCCATTCGTTGGATTTATCGATGGATATTTGTTCTTGGGCAAAATTAACGAAAACCAATATTTTAAAATAATTTTTCAGTTCCTCCGAAATTGAATGCACATGTCTAATATTTATGTATAAAAAAAATGCATTGCTTTACCTGCGTGCCTGGATGAATCTCTTTACAAGAGTAATCTTTCTCTGCATGTCCGCGAGTTTCCTCTCCTGCTCCTCAGGGCTTCTCAGCTTTGCCTTGGACAGACACTTGTACGCCTCTGTTAGAGCTCCCAGGGCTTTCTCGTAGTTCTGATACTCATCAATCTCCATCTAAAGAAGAAGATCCACCTTAATTCATCATGCCACAGTGTCCATCATTTGACCGATTTTTTTCAACTACTGAGTGTACGCTTTGTTCAATCAGTGTCAGTAAATGGCGTTTTTTTTCTGTTAAAACCTTTTTTTTAATGGAGATATATTAGGCTTGGGTAGAAAAACTGGCCCTAATAAGTGGAGAAAATAGTAGACATCAATACTCCCGGCATTTCCACATCCCTCTACCTTTTGACCGGCCAGAGGTGAAGAGAGAAACAGCGTACCCGGATTCTGTTTATCCCTAAAGACTCAGACCTTTTGGAGTTTTTATTTACATATGGGTGCCTGCTATATCCTGCTGATCCCTGAGGGGAACATCTAAACACTCTAGATCTCTGTCAGTGATCTAGGTAGTGATTTCTCAGTTGATGCTGCATGACTAACTTCTATTAGTCTCTGTTTACCATTTTGGGTTATATCATTCCAGCTTCTGATACTGTATGGCAGGTACTTATTAATATTCTGCTACTTTCAGTCCATACCAGCTGTTACATTGTATCTCATTGCTGAACATAAGGATTTCTATGTATTGGGACAGTTTTACATCTGCTACTATTGCACTCTGAGCTGTAGAAAGCTTACCTCTATACCGGACTTTTGTTTATATTTTTGCTGCTAAATCCCATATTGGACAGATTCATTTCCACATTGATCCACTGCATAGATGACTGTGTTTTTTGTGTTAATTCTCACTTTATTGATTATTATTGCACGTTATGGTCAGGCATTTACGGTATGTTTCCGCCATTAATACTATTGTCATTACTATTTGATTCACCACCCAGTATTGTACCTTTTTCTTATACTTATCTATTGAATCTATTTTATAGCTGCATTGTGCGGTTCTCTCACCTGTTTCAGCTTGAGTTTTTATTCATCTATATCCATCCTAGCATTTTCACAGTCTCTTATACATTCCTTCTGATTTCCCTCTTGTTCTATACGCTTATTCTTACTGTTGCTTTTATCTATATTTCTATATAGATTTATGTCCTTTCTATATTCATTTATTGTATTTATTATTATTTATTATTATTCTTTATCTCCAATTTTATTTCTTAATTCTTATATTGATTCTATTTCTTTTTTTGCCTTGGACACCTATCCATTTCCTCTGCACCTATTATTCCTTGTACTTTTATATTGCTTTCCATTTTCACTTCTTATTAGATCTCCTGGTACGTGTAGGGCTTACCACCTATATTTGTTTAGATTACTTTTTTTTTTAATGGTCTTATAAGGATTAGACAACAAAAACCAAACAGTTCTGCCCCCATTCCTTCCTTTGCGGCTTTGCTCGCCCACCCAATACAAGTGATCGAAACCAATCAAAATCTACTGAAAGGGTTTGGAGAAATCATTATAAACAGTGAAAGTAGCTAAAGATAAGACAGGGGGACTTTGGGAGGAGAAGTAGACACTTTTAGGAGTTCTGCTTGTCAACGGCATGGGAGAAACAATCCCAACAATGTAACACTCACCTGAGCGCAAGCATCATAGAAGCCAGCTAAGAGATCCAGTGCCCTTCCCTTATTATAGAAGGTGATGATATTCTTCAAGATGTCTGGGTCTTTGCGCCAGTCCAGTGACTGCAGGTAGTTGGCTGCCATGATGTAGATTTCCCTTTGTCGCGATACCCCAGCAAAGAAAACTATTTTCTCTGTGTCTCCTGATTTCAGTAAGGATCTCATTGCCTGGAGAAGGAGTATTTCAGTGCTTAATAATTTTTTCAAAATATTTGGAAAGGTCTTGTATGAGTGAATATAGTAGCTTCCTGATTCTCCAACGATAACTAGGACATGGTAAACCTACCCACAGACTGATGTTTCAACATTTTCACCTATTTGGTTGTCTCCTACCTACAAGAAACCATGGCCATGTGTCTTGTGACTCTGGCAAGGATTTTGATCTGTGAAACCTGCTAGGCACTTACCTTTACTTTATTTCCAGCCTGGGTGTATTTTTTTGTAGCAAGATGATAACTGCCTTGCCGCATGCAACAGTCAGCAATACGTTCTAGTAGCTCCCTTCGAGCCTCTTCACTCAGCTCTTTGGAGTCCTTCGACACGGTCATCTTTTCAGCCATGTCTTCCGTGATGACCAAGTTCTGCTCCAGGCACAGCTGAAGAGCATCATTGTACTACAAAGCAAATTTTAAAGCCAATGAGGAGAACAGAGGAAGACATTGATACAATCAACATTACTATACCCTTTATAGACCAGAACTCTACCTTTTTAGCTGCCAAGAGCAATTCCACTGCCTTCTCGAACTGTCTGTGCTCAATGAAAAAATCTGAGCAGCGAGCGAGCAGTGCCGGGTCAGACTTCTCATCCAGGTCATCGGCAATCAACTGCAGAGCCCCAAACTGCTCTGTTGCAAATGCCAACTCGAGAGCCTTGGAAAGGTGGCCAGCCTGAGAGAAAAAATAACATGAGGATCATTTAATGACATTGCCTCCACAGATAATAGCCTTGACAGCTTCTCCAGCCAGCCAAGTGGCCAAAACACATGGACGTTTATAGGAAGCCAGCACTGCTCTATAGCATACTACAGCCTGTGCAAACGTTACTTTTGATTGAGCTCACAGCCGCATGACTGCCTTTGTATCATGAAACAATCTCCCAACTTAAATGTACATTTCTACATTCCTTTATATTTGTATTTTATTGTGATTATTAACCTACATTTGTAGTTAACACTTCAACAACCATAAGTCACCAGCTGTTTTAAAAAACAAAGTGTTAAAGTATTAGAAACTTTTTTTTAAACTTAATGGCTGGACAGAAGAATGCAAAGACTCCCGCTGGTCTGGGAAAAATTCCTCCATCTGAAAATAATTACTCAATTTAATCTACAGATTTGAAACATTTATATAGTAAGACCTTGCAGTGGGTAATATATCCCCAAGGGATCTACAAGAATTCCAGAATCTAGACCAATCTATCCACAGATAGATGAACATCACTCGCAGACAATATTCTGAGGTGGCAGAATCTCTCATGTAGAAACTTGTGGGGGTGGGATAAGTGTGATATGCTAATAGCAGAACATAAAATGCTCCTAGCAAGGCTTTATAAGTTACTCACCAATGCAACTCACCAGAGTTCTCACTCATCAATGGCTTGTTAAGAGTGGAAATATTGAGTCCTACTAACACTATTGGTTCCCTATGTAATGGCATAGTTGAGGTGAACCACGTTTGAGACCTGAGTGAGACTCAACCATACATCACTCTACCAAGCTTTTGGTCTATTGTCGGTAAGTGTCTCCTACACTTTGTTTTCTTAGTCTATCCACATTTATTAATGTATTGTCTACTGACCTTCTGGTAAAGCATTACTGCCCTATCCATCTGCTCTCCCTTCTCCTCATAGTAGCAAGCTGCATCCATCATGTCCTCTGGAGTGCTGAGCAAGGCCAGATTCATCAGATGGTCATCCATGTTGTTTTCCTAGATAAAAAGAACCATGTTTAACTGTTTAGTTCATGGTGAAGATCAGTCATTATGCAGTAGCCAGATCTTGGCATAATACAACTAATTAAAAATGTGAAAATTGTCAGAGGAATTATAAATGCCATAACCAGACCAAATGCAAAGCGCTTGGCAGCACCCGGGTTACATACCTTGCAAAGCCTAATGGCATTGTTGTATGCCTGGGCCCTGGTGTAAAAGTGCACTGCCTGCTTCATATCCCCTTGGCTCTCATACTTCCTTGCCAGGTGGTAAGATGCAGCCAAGTTTCCGGTCTCGTTGGCTATTTCTGATGCCTAGAAAGCCAAAACATCAAGAAACATGAGTATGAGTCATTAGGGATGCCCATCTCGCTTTTCTCCAAAAAGAAGACTCATATTCTGTCAAAATTCCCCCAACAGCTTTAATCGATATAAGACAGAATCACAATGAAATAGGAAGAAAGTAAAATGAAGCAAATATTACCAAAACATATAAACTGTGATAATCTACAACCCAATACAGGAGGTATTCACCTTTTCAATGTTCTTTAGGTAGCAGTGCACTCGGACCAGTGACAGGTAATCTTGTGACATCTCATAGTATTTTAATGCTGTGTCCAGATCTGACTGACTCTCTAAATATTGTGCCCACCATTTCCAGAGACTCCTGCAGAGGGAACCAAAGAAGAAGCTACATTGGACAAGCCATCTTCAGACATCTTAACACAGAGAAAATGGTCGTTCCAACAACATGGAGTTCTAAACCTGAATTTTCAACACAGAATTAATGTCTACCTACACACATCATTTTATGATTTTCAGATTAGATTTTAAAGTCTATCGAAAATGTCGCCCTGTCATTTCTGATTGACTTCGATCTAAGCAGCAGTGATCACATACAAGGAGGAGAAATAAGCCTTCTCACTTGTCTTTCTTCTTGTTGATATAGTTCTGCAATTCCTGAGGATCCTCCTGAAGCATTCTTGGAATCTCAAACCGGTGAGTGTCGGACCTCTCATAGCTGTGCAGAAAGAGAAAGATTCCGTGAATGGAGATTATGACCCCACGGAAGTTGAACTCATTTTACAAATTTGAGATCTGGAGAACATTTAATGAAATATTAATATTTCCAGAAGAACACAGGGATAGTAGGGTTTAGAGATAAATACAAACAGTGCTGTGATTTCTGGTCACATCCTTCGCAATGGTCTCTTATTTTAGACAGATCTAAATACACCAAATACTTAGCTAGACATGTCTTTCGCTTTGACACAGAAGTGACAAAAAAAGTATTTCTTTGAGACATAAATATTAAATGACATATTTATAAAGCCCGATATGACATTTACAATCACACACGGATGGTTAACATCAACATACAATGCCAGAAAACCTTAAGATACCCAGGTAATGTTATAAAGTGGTTTCTATGGAAGAATCAGAATTAGAGGACAGTGATTGGCTGCACCATAACCACTACAGCTCATTAAAATGCTTATGGTGCAATAAGTCTTTGAGTGCAGTTCTTTCAGATCTTACTGCACAAAGTAGATTTCTTTCGGTGGCCAAAGCCTGGCTCGTCTGAGATAATGCAGACGTTTTACTTCTGTGTTAGCCATCAAAATATGGAAGATAATGATTGGATGCCACAGCTGGGCTGAACAGCCATCCAGCCTATCACAGTCTTTCAATAAAAGTCTGGGCACACAAGCCGTGGATTAAAGCGGCCTTCAATAGGAACAAACCAAAAGACAACATTTCAAATCCACTCCAGAGTCTTTGGCAAGACACTTTTTGGAGTCAAAATGTTGTCTTTTGGTTTGTTCCTCTTAAAGGTTTGTGCCCGGCCTTTTCTCGAAATTACCTGTGAATGGGAGTGTGTGCTCTTAATATGGATTGTGGTTTATGTCTGTGATTCCATCCTGTTCATTTTCATTGCCGTCTTTGATTCCAAATTTAAAAAGATAATGGATCACATTTCAGCATTATCGTAGTGTCAGCAGAGAGGAAGAGGTTTAGGTGCTAGAAGAACCCTGGAGGACGGCACCCAAATAACTACACACTTCACTGTGCCATAGTTTTCTATATAGGAGTTGGATCGCTAGATGATACAGGATGTTACCCTGCTGAACCTATTCACTGTCTATAAGATTCTATAAATAAAATCCCCAGATTGAACCGTACTCTATCCTTGCAGCTGAGAACCTGCTGTGATTACTTATAATTTAGCAGCTGCTTACTAGCCAAGTGATCCGCCCCGGTCTCCTATGGCCTCCAGGTGTTTGGCATAGTTATAATAGGTGGTGCGCAAGTGGACTCGGTCGTGACTCTCTGCTGTTTCGATGGCCTTCTGCCACTTGCCCCAAGCTTGGTAGAATCGATTTAGTAGATCATAACGCTTGCAGGTTTTGTACAGTTGTTCTGCCTCTTCCTGTGTGAGACAGTAAAGAAAATATAAATGAATCAGATGAGAGTAAAACAAAGTGAACATGCAAGCTGACGGTTCTTGGATTAACCAGTAGGTAGAGAATATTCACATAAGAACCCCAAATGACAGGTGACCTAGCAACAAGAGGGAAACCGAATCTAGCAAGAGTAGGATGTGATGCGGGATGTGCAAAGAAGGGGGACTGGAAAGCGGTGAAATAATGCCACATAGGGGTTATGGAAGCATCATTATATACCACGAGATCAATAGAAGTCTCCAAAATCCAGAGATACCATTCATTTGACCAAATACATACTTCACCATTCACCGTCTTCCCATACATGTTCCATTGCTGTCTGAGATTAGTGAGAGTTACATTCCTGGGTAGCAGCTATTTCATCTGCCGTGATTAAAATCCAACACCTGCAAGTCTTACTCCTACTAATCTCAGACAACTCTGAACATGCTCGTCTTGGTTCTGCCCGAGATTAGGACCCTCAGACTGTAAAGAGATGGTCTGTGAATTATTATCCGCTTATTAAACAGATGATGTCAGCATCCATGCAGTGCACAGTTTGTAACCACGATTGGCCTGTTACAATAATTATTATTATTTTTTTTTATTTAGCGCCATCATCGCTGTACAATAATAACAATTATATTACTTTCAAGTTATATATATTTGTGGTCGTGTTTACATGAAGCTCCAGGCAGGCTCTCTCATAGAAAGCTTGTTGAGAGCTACAAAAGAACCCGTATGTGTTACTGGAATGTGTACAGCACATACCAAACAGGGGGTGAAGGGGGACCTTAATTAGCAGGATGCCGGGACACAGGAGTTTATTGCTCCATTATGTAGTCAATCAGTATATTTGGCTATGGGGATTACAGTTAGCGTCCCTTTAAAAGTATCCTTTTTTTGCACGCTACGCTAATGGGGCTGACCAGAGCATTTCTGCTCGAATTCCCAAAATAACTGCAAACAGCAGGTTCTTTGGTGGGAAATAAACCTAAAACACAATGTCACTCTTGCTGAAGTCTGCAATCATTTAAGAGACACAGGAAATTGCTATGAAAAATAAACTTCCTCGTATGTTTAAGTAAACACAGAGAATGGAGTTATGGCACAGAGTCGATCCATATCAATGCATGGTTTATATCTTTGGAACTGTATCTGGAGACACTGATGATTTATAGTCAAAACCAAAAGGACACTTCCATCCAGACTCAATGTACAGAGCACTTTATCAACCAATGTTATAGGAATCCTGCTGGGTTTGGAGATATAGTATATTCTACTCATAAACAGAATAATAGCACCATAGAAATGTAAAATGTCAGGTACCTAGGAATACAACTGAGCAAACTCCTGTTAAACAGAATATATCATACAACGCACATTCCACTCACCTACTAATACACAGACACCGGGACACATCCCTCTCACCTCCTCCTAATACACAGACACCGGGACACATCCCTCTCACCTCCTCCTAATACACAGACACCGGGACACATCCCTCTCACCTCCTCCTAATACACAGACACCGGGACACATCCCTCTCACCTCCTCCTAATACACAGACACCGGGACACATCCCTCTCACCTCCTCCTAATACACAGACACCGGGACACATCCCTCTCACCTCCTCCTAATACACAGACACCGGGAAACATCCCTCTCACCTCCTCCTAATACACAGACACCGGGACACATCCCTCTCACCTCCCCCTAATACACAGACACCGGACACATCCCTCTCACTCCTCCTAATACACAGACACCGGGACACATCCCTCTCACCTCCTCCTAATATACAGACACCGGGACACATCCCTCTCACCTCCTCCTAATATACAGACACCGGGACACATCCCTCTCACCTCCTCCTAATATACAGACACCGGGACACATCCCTCTCACCTCCTCCTAATACACAGACACCGGGACACATCCCTCTCACCTCCTCCTAATATACAGACACCGGGACACATCCCTCTCACCTCCTCCTAATACACAGACACCGGGACACATCCCTCTCACCTCCTCCTAATACACAGACACCGGGACACATCCCTCTCACCTCCTCCTAATACAGACACGGGACACATCCCTCTCACCTCCCTCCTAATACCCACAGACACGGGACACATCCCTCTCACCTCCTCCTAATACACGAACACCGGGGAAACATCCCTCTCACCTCCCTCCTAATACACAGACACCAGGACACATCCCTCTCACCTCCTCCTAATACACAGACACCGGGACACATCGCTCTCACCTCCTAATACACAGACAACGGGACACATCCCTCTCACCTCCTCCTAATACACAGATACCGGAACACATCCCTCTCACCTCCTCCTAATACACAGACACCGGGACACATCCCTCTCACCTCTTCCTAATACACAGATACCGGGACACATCCCTCTCACCTCCTAATACACAGACACCGGGACACATCCCTCTCACCTCCTCCTAATACACAGACACCGGGACACATCCCTC